TGTGGTGGGAAAAGTAAAATGAGTTTGTGCATGTTTGATGTGATGCAGATCATGATCTTCTTCAAACATACACTACAATCAACTAAAAAAATAGATAATCCAGTTTTAATTAAATTTTATATTGGAGGGTTTTATGAAAAAAATGTTACACTATTTCATTTAGATGGGCCAGTTTTCATCACTATTTTACATAAGCGCACAGATACTTTTATGAACTTCTGTTAAGTTCTTATAAAAAAGTATTTATAAACCTGTTTTTAAGCTTATTTGGATAAACATGAAAAATAAGTTGGATAAATAAATTTTTGCTTGCTTCAATAAACTTTTAGTACAGTATTAATAAATGTGATGAAAGATCACATAATGGCAGTTTATTTTAATTTTGTTCAGCATTTGATGACATCTTACTTTTCCCAGCTTGGCCTTCATTCATATGCTTGAAACTGGCTTGCATCTATCACATGCTTCCATGCTACTGCAGACATTGAATACTAATACTATTCTATCGTTTTTAAAGCAGTAAATTTTCTTTCTTTTTCTTAAACATTATTATCTTAAACATTATACAATTTTCAATACATAAATTTCATAAAATAAAACATTTTTAAAGTATTTTGTGTTGATTACTGAAAATCTTGGAACGGAACCTAATGTATTTACATATGTTCCCATTATATTTTTGCCTCAATTTACACCACTTCATTTTACGCTGGAAATCTGAGGAACCTAACCCCGGCGTAAACCAAGTCCTACCTGTATATAACTTTAGTTGATACAGCATCACAATGTAATCAGTGAAGCAGACTATATGGGTTGCTTTTATGCTTTGATATTAAAAATAAGTAAAGTAAAGCTGTGTAAGATTCGAGGTTTTCAATGCGGTGAGCATGAATATTTCTGTCTTCTCAGTTGTTGCGCCATGTAGTATGGTAGATGTGTACACACGTTTCAGAGGTCATATTGCCTCCGTCATCAGGGGGATTGCCTCTGAAACGTTGGTAAACATCTACCATACTACATGGTGCAACAATCCAGAAGACAGAAATCTTCATAAAGTAAAGCTGTTCCATTATATGTCATGTGGGCACTTGGTGGGAGAGGAGTTATATCTCCTACTCATTCGTAACCTCGGCACTAGATGGGGGTGAGAGGTCAGCGTCACACCTCGGTTGCACTTTACTCCTGGGAAAGGACCCCAGTACCTGTTGGATAGGAGGCTGGGTGGATCCATTGATATTAAAATTATTTTTCTTTATGTCTAAGCCTTCAAATATTTTGATTGTTTTTCCACTACAACTTTTAAAATTAACATCTGTTTTGCAGTAAAAGTAACTAGTAAAGATAAAGCTGTTCCTGTTACACACTGTGAAAGTGTTTATGGGAAGTAGAGAAGATATAGCTCCTAATTCCTGACCTTGGCACTAGATGGTGTGAATAGGATCCCTGTTACCCATTGGATAGGAGGCTGGGTGGGCACCACTGCCAGACTGGAAAAAGTGGCTAGAAGAATACTGCTTTGCCCTTACCAGGGATCAAACTCCAGTTACCTGGTCCATAGTCACTGTACTGACTGAGCTACCTTGGCTCCTGAAACCAATGAGGTTGAGTGTAATGTTTATTGTCCTTGCATCAGTTCTCACTGAGATATGTTCAGAAGATGTGATATGGATCCTTATATGCTTCTTTGTAGTCATAATGAACTCTGATTTCAGTTAGATAGTTCAGAGGCAGCAGATTACTGTAACAAATTATTGAATGAAAATGACCCCCTTCTGTGGCAGAATATGCTTTGTCATTTTAATGAAGCTCCACAGTTCATTTGTTAAACTATCACAATATAATTTGTTATTTAAACATTATTGCTTATTACAGGCTGGCACAGTGGCCACACAGTCTGAGGAATGGACCTCGTGCGCCTGGCCACTGTGACCGTGGGTTCGAGTCTCACTCAAGGCATGCAAGGAATTCTACCAATGCCCAAAAAACAGATCAATCATAAACCTCCAAGAGAGGTAGAAACGCAGACCCTGCAAATGTGGGACAAATGCGAATGAAGAAAAAAAATATTGCTTATTACCCTTCATGTTTGATCCATTGTCAGGGGTTTGGTACCTGTGGATTGCACCCTAATAATTTTTTTCTGGAATGTACAGTATGTGGTATCCACTTTCATCACTGTCGTTACGTGGGTTAGTGTGTTTTTATTCGTCATCTGCTCTGTATTATTGTGCTTGTCTCATTTCCTAATATCTTCATTTTCTTTTTTCAGATACTTGACTTTATGTGTCTCTAAGACCTAAGCCCATGTAAGCTTATAATAGTTGTATTTTATGTAAGACTTGAGGTTCTCACAGCGCAATAACCCAGAAGACAGAAATCTTTGTTGTATTTTATGTTGCATTATTTATTGTTTTACATTTTCCCATTAACTTCTTTGTTGAATTCTTATCTGTTCATTTGTCAGATTTCCAGTTCTTTATTGTTGCCATGTCCCTTGCTGTTACCACACTTTCTTCTGTTTCCTGTTTGCAGTTCCTCCTGTGTTTTGAGCTATGTATTCTTGTGCTGCTTGTTTCTGTGCACAATTCAAATAGATGATTGAACTCTTCACTCTCTTTATCTATATTCTTCATCTTTCCAGCTATCTCCCTGTACTCAGAATATGCAGTATGTACATCCAGCAGTCAAAACACACACAGAGCGCCATAACCCACTAGGTAGTACTGTTTATTTTAACTTTTTGTTCGATTAAAGTCAAGTAAAGAAGGATGTTTTGGTTGTTGCAGCACCAAGCGTGGCAGATGTTCAGGCAGCCATTGAACATATATTCCCTCTAGTCTATGAATATAGGAAAGAACGTACAAAAGAGGATTTGTTGGCATTGCAGTTAAGACGTAAAGGTCAGAAGAGGAAACGCAGTTTTGCACACATTGAAATTGAGGACAATGATTTTGAGGAAGAGGCAGAAGTCATATCTGATGAAGAGGATGAGACTTGTGAAAGTGATAAGAGCTGGGATTGATAGATGTTATGTTCGCACTGTGTCAAGTGTGTGGGTATGTGTGTTGAAGCGTGTGCATGACATCATATAGCAAATATTGAACTGAAGAGGATGGTAACTGTGTGTGACTGTTGAATGTCAGAGTAATGTGATGTGAAAACATGTCTCTCATTTTTTTCCAACTTGGTTATCCACAGTGTTAGTGTGTCAAGACACAATACTCATTGCCACTTGAAGGCAGATGTTTTCACTGATTTGTTACTGCATATAACATTATTTATTTACATTGTAAGTTACATATAGTCAAGCGTAGACTTACGTGAAATCTCTTACTTTTTTCGTGATAATGATCAACAGGTCACAGTTGTGTCAATATTGACATTATAAATCAATGATGCAACATTTTATATAAGATGGTAGGCAATATTTACCTGATGTAGAACAAAATGGGATCAAAAGGTTCTTTTGCACTTTCGAAACTCAGTATTGTAAAATGTTTTCTGAACTGACAAGATGTGGGCATTTTCTGTATACAATATTATAATGTAATGTAGCCTTGGAATCATGTTGTTAAATTAACATTGTGATACCACGTAACTGACATTGGCAATATATATATGTATCCAGTCAGGCTGACTAGGAACTGTGCAATTCCTTCCAAAGTACCCACTTTTGCTTTAGAAGTATTTTACATTTGTTTAATGAAACAAATGTATAGCTTTAGAACTGCCTTTATGAAATGTGTAAGATGAAAGCTTTTATGAGCTGGTAATATATATTTTGAAATGTCATGTAATAAATCTTAGATATAGTTTGACATTGAGCTGATTTTACACCTTTGTCGCTTGATGTGGTGACTATGAAATTATGAAAACAATAGTTTCATCAGCTAAGGAATTCTGTAGTTTGTCACATGTTTAAACTTATCTTTTATTATTATTATTATTAATTATTATTATTATTACATGTTTTTCTTGATTGAAATCTATGGAGTTGCTTTAATTTTGTATCTGTGTCTTGGTGTCTTTTTGTTTTGTGGTAGTACTATCAGCATTGTCACCCCATCTCAACTCTGAGAAATTAAATGTAGCAGGGAAACATCCTTGGCTAGTATGAAAATTATGCTTCAGTTTTACAGAAAAATTAATTTATTTCCTATCTTTATTTTAGATTATTACATGTGGCTGTAAAAATACTGCTTTTGCCTTTCTGCCAGAAACTTGCATAATTTCCATTAAATATTTATATACCTTACTTTAAGTACATTTAGGACACAGGATGCATTATGTTGGAAAAGATCTTGCTTGCCTTCTCCTGTTCATACCAGACTTGGATCCATCTTCATTTGATAACTGAAACAATACAATTTATTCTTTTAATTCTGATTAGGGAATTAAATATTTCATTATTTTGTGGGTGTGAATTAAAAATAATATTTATTTATAAACATAAGAAGTCATATATGTTTAAGTTCCATCATGTGTGTTGGTATATTCACTCATTTTTGTCATAGAATAGTCAATTTGTGAAGTTTTGTATTATCTTTGTTCACTGTTCATTTGAATAATATACATCATAATTACAATACACAGAATAGAATATTGTATCCTGATTTTAGAAACCTATCATTGCATTTGCTCATAAAGAGGCTTTAACCCAGATAATTGCTGGTTTTACTAGAGTGTCAGATTCACTGGTGCCATGAAGGATTGTAGGTACAAAAAGGCTACTGCGGAGTATTACATACACCCTGATTTTCGGAGCAAGAAGTTGTGAGGCATTCAGAAAAATGCAGTACAGTTTATAATTATAATTATGATTATAGTGCATTAATCTTTTAAAACTTTCTTGGGTGATCAGCTGCCTTAATGCTGAGTCAGAAACCATTGTTTAGGAGGGTCAGTTCCTACTGGAGACACCTAGTCTCCGAAACGTTGGTATTTGATTCAGCATTGATGCAGCTGATCACTCAAGAAAGTTTTATAGCTTTCAGAGTATTTATGATTGGCATTTTGTAGAACATTTATGCATTTTGTTCTTGGCCCAAAAGCATTTCAAGATCAAAGTAATGGCATATTTTGATTTCACAATCCAGTTGCTAAGGGATAAAATCTATTAGGGGAGAGAGAGGTTATGGCACGCAGCTGGTAATGGTACGTACGTCTATTTTGATACTGCAAGAAGTTGCCATAGCTGTACATCTCATTGCAGTATAGCAGAGGCTTCCAGAAATTGGAACCAGTTGTGGATTATACTTCTAAGAAGCCGTGCTCTTTAAGTCCAGTTCTTTATTTTACTGATTTGTGTTATAAAAATACCTGAAATAAAAGTCTACGGTGGGTCAACAAGTGTTTGCATGGTCCGAAGACCAATTTTGTGTAGCTGTATGGAAATACAATAATGACTTTTATGGTACTCTGGAAACAATGCAGTGAAACATACGACCGAGGCAACCTACCAACCAAAAAGCTAAGGGCAGAGTCCTGCACAAGCGCGAGACATCGCCCTTTGCTAGGGAACACCATTCCTTCGTAGGAAAAACAATGCTGGAAGTGGTAAACAGTGCCTTCCAACGAAAACGGGGTGTGCTTGCGCTAAAGGGCGCTTTGTTGCGGCGGAAGCCTTGACTGTTCAAACTAGGAATGACCGGGTCATGCGCATTTATTCTATAAATAACTCATTCCTCAATTACTGCTGATTGTGTGCAGCATTTATGCATGCCATAATAAATTTACGTATTTTACTCTTTCTCGTTTGGGATGTAGAATTTCGCGTGGAACACCATTAGGCAGACAGCAGATTCAGTCATAACTCTTAAATGTGCAATTTACCATGTTTATTGTTTAAAACTACTTGCAAGAAGAAGCAAAATTGCTAGCTTGCGCTATAAGATGTTGTAGACCCTGTCCAGTTAATGATTCGTAATAACGTAATTATATTGTGTAAAGCGTATTCATTTTATGTGAGTAGTAGTAATCAATATAGAGTTTTATGTGTATGATGTTGGGTGGAATTTCTGAAATCGGTAGTATTAAATGAATATTGGCATCGTATTTTGGAACTAAAGTTATTTTGCCGGAATGTTGGTATTGTGTGTGTCAATGAGCATGGAAAACCGAGAAGGCTTATTAACTGTAGGTTATGGACGTAGGTGTGACGGCAGGAATTGCCGAAGTCAAGTGTTGCATTTGTAGAGCGCAATTTGTTGAAACGAAATGAACGAAGAAGTAGATGACCAAGACTTTTATCAACATGACTTTACAACAATGGGGAATTGGGAAGTTTTTATTGCCCATTTCGAGAAAATAATTCAGAAATGGAAATTGTCGAAGGTTAAGAGAGGACCCCAACTTAAAAGGGGTGAACTCAGCGAAGGAAAATGGGAAAGGACGTCAGAGAAAATATTATTTGCAGGTGTGTGAGTGAGAAAAGGTTACGGGTAATTACAACGGTTTGGTAATTATAATTGGTGTTGAATTTTCGAACATAACCCAAATATCAGTTCTTGTTCACATGCGCTTTATCGAACCGTAATGCAAGTATCAGAAACCGCTTAGCAATGAATTGGATTTCATCATATTTCGTAGGTAGACAGGTTGTTTGGAGGGTAATTTTTTAGCTACAGTTATGCTTTATGGAAAAACAGTACAGAAATAAAAGTGCCATTTTGTTGCCTTTGCTTAAGCTCTTGTTTTGGCTTGTTTGTCCTATTTCTGTGCCAGAATGTGAGTCCAGATCAGCATTGATCTGAGGTATGACTTTCCTTGGCTATTCTAGGATCTGGATCTTGACATGGTACATTTTGAGAATTGGTAGATAATTTGTGCAGGTGTGCAGCCAAGCAGTCCTGTGCAGTACAGAGTCTGAAAAGACAACACTAAACAATAATTGCCACAACGGTTTTGATGCAATAAAACATGCCCTTGTGGTTAGGATTCAGAGGGATTGTGGACCTGTTATGTTATTGTGACATAGTCAGTTTATTTATCTAAAATATATAAAATCATGCAAACAAACAAAACTGTTTACACTTTAAAAAACACTTAGTGGCAAACACATTTTGATCTCAAGAGGTCATTATCCGTGGCAAAAACATTAATTCATTTGTCTGTCTATTAAATCATGCAATTCATAAGACGATGATTTGTTATAAAGTACTGAGCATAAAAAGATCACTCTTTATAAAACTGTACTTAATGTGATACCACTTTGAACGTTTACTTGCACATGAGTTGGTGTATTGTCTAAATTGAGTTGCTTAGCTTAATGTCCACTGGCCTAAGTTGAGGTGTCCATTGTTACAATGCAACCACGGCTCACCATAGACTGGATTTGTTATTTTTACTGTAGTGGCAGTAATTTGAGTACAGACTTGACCTATTTGCACCATAAATTTTAGACTTATCATTCATTTTTTTGAAGTTCTTGTGGTCTATCAGGTGTGACACTTTCTGGAATGATGTTTAAGATCATATTTATGGAATATATGAAAATTGTTTTCTCTTTCAGATTTTGAGTTCATTGTTACAAGATATAAGTTGAGTTTGAAACCTGTGGAAGGAATTATAAGCCCCGTAGAAGATGAGACAGATGAAGGCAGAACTCAGGCACTAGATGACATCATGGCTTTGGACAATGACTTTCCTCCACATGTGGAATGTGATCTTGGAGGCAGCAGTTGCCATCCTCACCCACTGGTTAGGTGGTATGGTCTTAGAGACTTTGTAGTTGTTTCACCAGGACATTGTTCCATCTCTGATGAAAGTAGAGTGAAAATACTGCTCAGTTCGGTATACATTGCCATAAACAATTCTAATTGGTAAGTTTACTTGTTATGTATACTTTGTATTACACACACACACACACACACACACATATATATATATATATATAAATGGCTTTTTACAGGTAGAAACTCCAAAATGGAAAATTCAAGGAACCACATGTTCATTGTTATGTGGAATATTTGTGATATGTTTTTCATGACTTGTTCTAGATAACAAGTTTTCAGTTTCTCGTTCACATTTCTTTGTGTCTGCCATAGCACCTACAGGATCATGATGTTTGTGCCCTGTTGATTGATGTTGGCTCTTTCATGTTCCTGGTGGAATTATGCAAGGGGAAGGGGGGTATTTTTTGTGTTCTGCTTCTTTAATTTTCCTTCTTCATTGACATTTTGGTTTGGTACCTTTCTGCTTTTGTCATGCCTTTTTCTGTTCCTGCACTCTGTACAACCTACTTGACTGAGCAGGTTTGTCTCATTATAACATGGCTGACTTGTATTTTGGAGGTTTCCATTTATAACTTGGTTGGGAGGTTGATTGTCCTGACTGAGGATTCTGTTTGTTTTCCTCTATTCCTCCAGGTGAATGATATGAGAGTAACTTGAAATCAGCCTTGACCAGGTGATATTTCAGGTTCTCACAGTGATGAGTATGAAGATGATTTTCTTTTAAGATGTTGCACCATGTAGTCTGCTATAAATTGACACATCTCAGAGGTGCTTGCTGCCTCCATCATCGCAACAGTCATGCTGATGATGGAGGCAGTAATCACCTCTGAAGTTTTGGGCACTTTTGACCAGACTACATGGTGCAGCATTGCAGAAGACGGCCATCTACAGGCCTTGACTACTTTTTCCACATTTCTCATTTCTGTGTAGCATCGATTAAAATCACTCTGCCCATCTGTTCATTTGTCTGTGTGCGTGAAATAACTTATGAAGTCATAAACATATTTTTAATTTTAGTAAAATTTAATATCTGAGAATTTTAAAAAATGTTGAACATTTCAATTGACATTTGATAAGACAATTTTAACAGCCACGTAGCAAAAGACCATTAGATTTTCTGGATTTAATCTTATCACATTAGATCATTTTAAATGAAGACAAATGCTTCATTTGTTTCAACAGACTATTGTGGTAAAGAAAAAAGTCATTATTGAATTTAAGCTGCACTGCAATCAGATTTTAATTCTGTTAATTTTGTGCTGTATTACAGTTTGACTTAAGCCTATCTTGAAAAAGTTACTATTGTGAGTATTTAATTTTGTTTGAACAGTGAAGCATTAGTATTGGTTGTTTATTCATTTGCTATGTAGTTTTTACTTCGTCCCAGTTAGAATAAGTATAAAGTATGATTATAATCTTTGTTTATTATAAGGGAAGATTTCATTGCAGACACAATTATTCAGCTTAGTGAAGTACTTTACTTTCATGAATCATCTCAAAGCAAACAAGTTTTATTTTGGTTCTTTTTTTGTGCACTTTAAAAATAAAATATTGTAGAGTTTGTAGGTTATTTAAAAAGCATGGATTTAGCATGGTTTTTATAACTCCTTCTGCTGAATGTGCATTTTAAGTGTACATTCTATATTCACTTTTAAATCTTTGAAGCATGGACTCTGTTATAATAAAAATCTATCAGTTTATGGAACTGTTAATTTCTTCTGGTCTGTGAGCTTGTTCTTTTGAGGGCACATAAGCACTTTGGTTCATATAGTATCTGTTTAGTTAAATAACTTAAATTATTTTAATATTAATGTTTCTTTCATCAAGTATGTTAAATTTTTTTTCTTATTTTTCCCCATCTGTTGACAATGTTCAATCTCAGGCCACAAAATACTTTCTGGTTGTTGTCTTTCCTCAATCTCTGCACATTAAATCCAAGAAATACTAAATTTTCTCACTGTCACACAATTATTAATGTTTGTGTCATATCAGATAATTTTAAACTGGGCTCAGACAGTTTATAAGAATGAAGGAATCTGTGTGTAAGGAGTCCCTGTTGCTTCTGTGACAACATCACAATGAACAATAGGAGTTCTACAAATGATCATTTTCATTTCACCAAAACACAGTAAAGTCAGCAGTTCTATCTGATTAATTATGTCTGTCTTCTGCAGTTACGTATTGGATTTAAAAATCCAAATTTACTACATTCCACATGTTTTGAGACAAATACTGTATCCTCAGGGCTAATGTTATGTAATGAAGAATTTTACCTCACAATATTTCAGTGGGGAAGGGAGGGGGTCAGGTATAAGTATCTGAAAATTATATTATAATTGTGTAAATACGATGAGTTAATTTTCTGAGTACCAGTTTTTACATGCTGGCTCACTGGTTTTGGAAGCAGAAGTTTAACTTTATATTTCAGGCACCTTGATAGTCTTGTTAAATTTCTGCAAATATATCTATATGAACTTCAGTTTCTTTTCAATGAATAGCTTCTACTCAAATTAACACAGCAGCCATATTTGCATTAAAAACGTTGAAGTTGGATGGCCTCCAGTGGCCTGACATTCAGTTGTGGGACCACTCCTTGTTAGCAGTGCACAACTGTTTATTCAATTCATAGTCTAAATAGAGTACATTTTTAGTAAATTTTACTGTACATAGTGGTGCATAGCATTAATTATTGTGCCAAATAATCTCACATCAGATGTGAAGATGCAGCGTGTCTCTCAGAATGTGTGATTCTGTTAAAATAGTGTTACTGGTAGAAAAAGAATAAAAGGTTTTGAAGTCCATTGTATAGAAATAGGAGGCACAGGTATGAAATTTGTTAGAAAGTAGTTGTTTCCATTTACTTCAAATAATGCTGGATTTGTCTTTTTTAAAGTGAAGCTCCAGTCTTTGTACAAATTCATGAACTTCAGCAACATTATTATATGGGAGTATGTGAAGGGAAAGGAATTCGGTCCGAGTTTGAGATGGTTCATTTGAAACGTACTCCACCTCACTGCAGGTACCTGACAGGTAAAGTTATACCAATAATTTTATAACATACAGCACTTATCCTTTGGTATGTTTGGAAGTGACAGTGGCAATAAGATCCAGTGAGGCTGAGTTTTGTGATGTAATTTGTGATTCTGCAAAGAACCTTTTACTTACAGTTAACTAATAATCCATGAATGCCATATTCTAAAGTATATATTTCAAGGTGGTAGTACAGTTTATGCTAATTCTGTTGACTGTCCAATCACAGACAGGCATAGCCATAGTCCACCTAAACCCTTGTGATTGTAGGTTTATATCCTGCTCAGTGCATTATTATGTGCCATTTTTTCTTACTTCCCCATTTTCATTGTTTTCCTGTTAAGGTTGGGAAGTCTTAAAAATGCAGCCTTCCAATTTCCTGTGTATGGACACATGTCTGAATAGGATTTGGAAAATATTCTGAGGTAGAGGGAGTTGAAGTTTATCAGTTTATATCTCCCGGGCATGACGTTAAACTGACAGACCGAGTGACCACCGGTGTAAGTGGTCCACCTCTACCAAGTGCCAACAGTCTCTTCGGAGGGTGGGTGAGCGGGTGGAGGTTGAGTACATCTTCATGCCCTTGGGGTGAGAAATCACCCCTAAAGGCGGATGAACCCGGATGGGTCAACGGCATAGGATGCGGAAGGCAAGGGGAATCCACCGCATTAAAGATCCTCAGGATTTCCCAAGGATCAGCAGCTCAAGCTGCTGCCAATCCATCCTAGGATTGATTACGAAAGAAGAAGAAGGTCTCCAAGGAATGCTTATGCTGTGTGATTCTGAGTCACATCAAACGTTTTGCATGATATTGTTCTAACAGACCTGGTTCCTGTAAATGCAGTTAATCATCATCATTGTACAAATCCTTATGTTCTGCAGTATTAGATCTTGTTGGTCTGTTGTAATTCTTTCAATTTATTTTTGATGCTTCTTCCTTTGTTGGTTGTTACTAAAATTTCCTATGTGAACTCTGTGAGTTCAGTATACTTTACATTTCTTCTATAATATATTTTTGTGTTGAATGATTTACTGAGGTCATAATTACCTTGATTATTAATCTTAATGTATAAATTTAAAGCATATTTTTGAAAAGGTTTTTATTATCACCTAGATACAAACAACTTGTCCTATCTATGCCTAACCTGTCAGTAATTGGAACTTCTAGATATGTTAGCATACCCTTAAGTCACCAGGGTTTAAGTCTATCACAGATATGAAGACTAAAAGAGCCATAATCTTCAGCTATATGCATTTGAATTTTATGTTTTATCATCATTCAAACTGATTGGGGTTCAGATCAAGAGGCTTCAAAATATGCAGAATCACTTTCTTCCAAAAACTGGAGGTCATTGTAATTTTGTTAGGAGGTGAAAGTGTAAGAGATGGGCTGTATTGAAATAAATTGTAAAATTGTTCTTTTGAATATTGTCCATTGTCCAGCCTCAGACCTGAGACAAGCAAAACCAGGGAGTTCAATACTCAGACTTTGTCCCCTTTCTGCATAAACCTTGGCTGCAGTGTAGGTCCAGTTATCTCAAGCACCAAGGAGCAAATACATATCACAGTATTTATGCAACATGGAAGTTCATTTTACTTACCCTTTCTTGCTGACGCCATGGGACGACTGCACAGTACAACAGTGAAACTACTACTCTGTGCTGAGTGTTGATCACTGTTCACTGTTATATCACAGGGAGCTGTCTTTGGTGCTGTTTGTCACATCCCACAACACAATTAATATACTTGTCCCATTTGATGGTTATGTAAAAATTTCTTATACAGAATTCTTCCTTTTACATTTTTGTTTTGAAGTTATGTACCATTTTGCTCACGCTCTGGATATCTGTTGTATGAACCTACCACATTTTAATCTCTCTCAAGCTGACACCGTGCATATGGGAAACAAATTCATTCAGTGATATACAGAAGTAATATGACTAATCAGTGGGTACTTTTAGAAGTCTGACATTTATTATTGTTATGTTGCAGGGCTGTTAAATCTTTTTAAATCCAAAGTGGCAAGTCCTGTGCCTCTTGAACCAATATGTATAGCAGTGAGATTCACCTATGTTCTAGTAGACTATACTAGCAATAACACTTGGACTCAAGAACCTCCTGATTTTGATTTCCTGCAAGGGGAGTCACTTGGTGTTCCTGAACTGGGAAAGCTGCCATTTGGTGCAACTTTAGACCCAGTAAGGCAAGTACTGAGTAACCATTCAGTTTCATTCCTTATAAATTACAGATATGATATTACAACACTGAATGTTGCAATCGAATGGTTAGCACTCCTGCTTCATATTGAGAGGTCTCTGGTTTAAATCTTGGCCTAGAGACTGGCTATTGTGACTGAGTCTTTTGTGGTTTTCCGTAGTCCCTCCAAGCAAATGCTAGAATAGTACCTTAGATTCAGCCACTACTACTTCCTTCACATCATTTCCAATTCATTATTCATCATCTTATTATTGACACAAGAAGACAGAGCTGCTGACAGCATTATTAAACTACAAATAAATCAATAAATTTTATGACTTGAGTTTCATCTGATATGTTTTTATCATATTGATTTACCAATTTTTGTTACACCTTGTACGAATGGCATGTCACTGGGTGTCACTCCATCTTGATACTTTCTGTTAACAATTTTAATATGTTGGTTGTGCATACTTTCTGGGTGAGATCAACAGTAGTGCCAAATGATGTAGTAAGGTTTGAATTGCACATTTCTTCTGTTGAGCTTAACAAATTTTGGCATGTGTTATTTTACTCACTTCATTTTGAGGACTTCCTGGTGTATTCTTAGTACCTTCTAGTGTATCTGTTACACTGAAACATTAGTGTGTGGTGTTGTTACCCCAGATTTTCTGGGTATTTAAACTTTAAATGTGCTACATTTTACTACATTAGAAGGGGAAGCAACCTTTTAATTTTACCATATTTTGCTGTGTTAAGGGGAGTAATGAGTTAAAAGTTTGTTAAAATGAAATAGCAGAGATTGAACTAAGGAATTTTTTTATTTTAACTGAATTTTTTGTCATTATTTTAAAGGGTTTTTTATCAAGAAACTTGAAAAGTACTTTTATTGTCTTTTTTTACATCTGAATACTGACACGTTTCTTAATTGGGGAAACGAATATATGCATACGTATGCCCACACATGCATGCGCATGTGCACACACAAATATACAAAAAAGCCTGTTTATGTCATACATTTCAGTCTTTTATCTTGTTCAGAATTTGATAATGCTGTTATGTTTCTGATGAATGAATGCTATCTAATATAAAGTTTTTAGTGCATGAATATTATTTTATATCTGGCAGTAATTACTGTGTTTGCTGGAATATGATTTATTACAATGTGAACTTCAATCTACAGTGAACTGCATTTGTTTGCAACTTGGCCACAGCTTATGGAGAATGTAGTTGTGGACAGTGAGAGCTATTCAGACTTTGAACCATCACAGGCACCTCTGTGGTCAGTTCAAGTAAAGATGGCAGAGCAGCCAGCCTGTTTGCTAAGTGAATACTTTATTGAATTCATCCATCTGTTTAGTAGTAACAGATCAATGCAGGATTTGCTTGGTGATTTGGTTGACAGAGGAACCTTAGGTAAGAATAGCATTCTTTATTTTTCTAGAAAAATAAATTTGTGTAATGGCTGGAAGGAAATTGAACAGTACTTCTTCATAATACCTTTTCTTTTTCTGCAGCTGTAAGAATTTGACATTTATAGCATTTGTAATAGTGTGAGAATAAGTACATTAGTGTTAACTGCATGGAGCATATTTTTTTGAGAAATTGGTAGTTCTGAGGTGATCAGTAAATTCTCTGCCTTTTATAGAACTTGATGATTTGTTGATGTGTTCACAAGAGCCTGACACTGAACCATACCTAGAGCAGTTATACCCTTAATGAAGATTAATTTTAATGTTATCCTCCCATATATGCCTGGTTCTTGAAAGCTCTGTCATTCCTTCTGGTTTTGTAATGTACTTTTGCATGTGTTTCCCTGAATTTGCTACATACCTTGTTTACCTTGATTTCATTAGTTTTTTTCTCGTATCATGAGTCTATATATTCTCCTTAGCACTTCATTCTCAGATATCCTCATTGTGTGTCCTTCCCATAGGATGAGTAGTAGATTTTTATAAGTGTAAAAAGGACATGAGAAGTTACAGTTTTGTATAATTTGTAGGTTTTCAGATTGGAGATGAGGAGGTAAAACGTTATGAACTGAATGGTATTTGTCATTCCTGGAATTTAATTTGTGCTTCTTCTAAATCAATTTTTGTTCCAGTATCGTTTATACCCAATTAATTGATGTATTAATATAATCAGTATAGACCAGGGGCTGGTATGTTATATTCACTTCAAATTTCTTCTCAGTAGGAGTGCATTCTAAAATGAGGTTGAAAAACAATGGTGATCAAAATGTGTACTTACTTAATACCATTCTGAACAACAAATGTGTTCAAGAGATAAGTAGAAAGAAAGAAAGAAAGCAAGTATACTAAGACATCGCTTTCATAAGGAAAAGTAAGAAGTGTGAAATTTTGCATATTTGCTTCATCTGTTAATATAAACAATTACAAGTACTAATATGCAACTAGAAGTTGTCAGATCAGGTGGTACAGTTTGAAGTGACAGAGAAGTGGTAAGTAATTGTGATGCTCAAAATATGTATGGTGTTGTGCTAGACAAAGCCCAGTCCCACTGTCAGTGCTGGTAAATTTTATTCATAATGTAATGAGCAAGGTTTTAAGTTTGTGTTTTTTATAGTCAGATTATCTACTAACCTTGATATGAATTGTGATTTAGTTTAATGTACACCATATTTAAACAGTATAGCTCAGTCTGTGTAGTGGCTGGCTATAGACTGGATGACCAGAGTTCGATCCCCAATGGGGGCAGAGCATTTTTCCTCTAGCCTCAGCGTCCAGACTGGTTCTGGGGCCCACCCAGCCTCCTATCCAATGGGTACTGTGGTCCTTTCCTGGGGGTAAAGCATGGCCATGGCGTGATGCTGACCACTCACCCCCATCTAGTGCTGAGGTCAAGAATGAGTAGGAGTTATACCTCCTCTCCCCCCAAGCACCTACATGGTATATAGTGGTACAACTTTTTTTTATAAAAAAGTTCAGTATCTTAATGAGATATATGTTTTTGACATACATGTTTATATTTCATGTACAATGAACCAATTTGAGAAAGTACATAAAAGCTTTATTTGATCACTACAGTCCAAAATGATGTTCATGTGGTAACTTTCAGTATATATCTCAAATACCAAATTTTTTAAGTCATTGCTGGGTAATTTGGGGGACAAAACATACAGTTCAGCAGAAAGACACACATGATCTCACTGTTGGATGTTTATTTTATCTAGTAATCTATGGAGCAGAGTCCTTCTTTGAGATTCGCTCAGCTACTCAATTAATTCCCTGCTTTTTATGAAACCTATAGGTTTATTGCTAAGCTGACAAAAGTCTGGCTCTGGTCCCCCGTCTTGAGCCGGATATATCCAATCTACACCATCTTGTCTTATTTCTTAAAGATACATTGTAATATTACACTTATACTTTGTCTTTTAGATGGTATCTTCCTACCCTCAGGTTTTGCAGTCAAAACTGCGTATGCATTTCTTGTCTGGTCCATGTGTGCTATATGCCCCACTCATATCAGTCAGTAGTATCATCAGAATATAGTGTCATCCTAATTTGATGATTGTAATAATATTTGATGAAGAGTACGAATCATGAATCTTGTCATTACACACTTTTCTTTAGCCTTCTGTTACTTCCTTCCTCTTAGATCCAAATATTTTCCTCAACACCATCTTCTCAGACACCCAAACTACAAAGTACTACATCCTACAAAGTATGCCTATGTCTGATTTTTAAACTGAGTGCAGGGTGTACATAAAAATCCCATGTTGCAATGCGATGCAAGGTTTCTTGTTTACAAAGGTTTAGTATTTATGTGCAGGGCATATTTAATGCACTCTCCTGATGAATGTCTATTTAATTTTATGTATTACAGTTTGTGCTTATATTAAGTCATTTGTCACATTTAGCATAGAACTTTGTCATTTTAATTTGAGTTTTTTTTTTCCAGTTGGCACAAATCTGAGCACTCCACTGGATTTACTAACAGAATCACGTGTCCCTACAATTTCTAAAGTGATAAAAAAGGCTAAAGGTCAATATCAGGAATCAGCACCAGAAGGACCAATAGCTGACAATCACCTGATGCCAATTCTGTATTTTCTATTCCCAGATGCTGAGGATATACCAGTAAATATCTATATTCCATAAATATGAGTCTTAGTTACTGAAGTTATGAAATGTGACTGTATTTTTGTTATCAAAATAATGTTTAAACTGTGTTGTATATAATATATACATGTATGTTATATACCTGTATGTATTTTTTTTCAGAAAAACTCTTATGCAGGACCACTAAGCAACCATTCTAACTGTGATAATCAACAGATGGAGGTAGGGATTTACTAGAAAATACATAACAAATAAATGCATGTACTGTTTATAGGGGATCATCATTTTTTAGTTTTCGTGCACTTCTACTGAAGGTGTTGAATTTAATTTCCTTACCAAATTTAATCTTAATTGTTACTGGTAAAACATGTGTATAGTGAAATTCAGAGGATCAATTTTTTTTACTGTGTTGTGCAGAAATTAAAAAAATATTCTTAGCTTTATGTGTAATTGGTACTGAGGAGGTCATGTTCATCTGTTTTGCTTCTCATCTGTCATTGTTTATGTTCCAAACCATTTGACAGGTTTCGGTGAAAGCTGGTACGTGTTTTGTACCCTAACAATGTTTACAGAAGTTTTATTATGGTCCTTATCAATGCTCTTGTAACCCAGAGTTTTTATGAAGATAAATTGAACATTAACATGAAACTTTTCAAAACACAATTACAATTTTATAAAATAATGGCAGTGCCCATGCTGACCTGTGCTAGTGAAAACTGGGCAATAAAATGATCATCAGTCAGACAAAAGGAAAATAGAGGCAGCTGAAATGTTCCTACATGTTTGCCCCAGAGTCAGTCTTTACATGGTATTGTGGTCATGGAAATTCCTGCACTTGCCAGGAATTGAACCCTGGTCATCCAGTTTGTGCTTATTACTTGTGCTGACTCAGAGGATGATAAATATAATTTGTAAGTTGTAATTTGCCGGTGCCACTGTACCCAAGGTTTGCGGGTTTAAACCCGGTCAAGGTCGATGGATTTTTAAGGGTAATAAAAGTTCGTAGCACAGACTTCCTTCAGAGGGGAAGTAAAGCTGGCAGTCCCATTCCATAGATTTACGGCATATAAAAGAACCTTACGAACATGAACAAGATGTTTCGTAAGCAAAATTCAGCGTCCATTTCACACCCATGTCTTTGGTAGAGGCCTTGCGATGGGTTGACCACTCTTCCAAGAAATCCCTACCAAATGTCCAAAAAATAGATAAGTAACCTCTGAAAGGAGGCCCATATGCTCCATATAGGAGATAAAAGGGTATATGATGATTTTGCTGGTGGCAGGACTTGGCAGCTGGATTGAAATCTGCTCCAGTAGATGGACTTGTGTGGAGATTGGCTGTAGTGATGTCTCATGTAGTTTACACCTTGGGAGGTGTTAAAGCAGCTGCTCATCTGTGGTATGAGTTCACTCAGGAGATGAGATACCGCTGGGAAAAAGGAATTGTCATACCAGGGTAAGTAGAATCAATAATACCATAACATATACTGGAAACTGTTTGATACAGTATGTAGAATGTAGGACTGGTCTAAGTGAGCTTGAAGAGAGAGGATCATTACTTGTCAACCATAATAGAGAATTAAATCTTATAATAAGATAGCATTTGAAGCTACATGTGTGTGTTATTCATAAATTATTATAAACATTGCCGTGGTAACATTGTCATGACCGACAGTTTAATTTGTTTCTAGTTTGTGAAGTTCTTAATGATTGTTATTGCCACGCATGTAAGTTTCTTTAGGTTTTGTATTTATTCATTTATTTTTTCCTTAAGCATTTTTCTGTGTTACCTGCATAGAATGCTCCTTGTTATAGTGATGAGTAAAAACATGGATGATTATTGTTATTCTTTATGAAAGGTCTTTTGGTCCAGTATAAAATATAATCACTAATGATAAAAAGTAATAAATCTTTATATGTAATGTCGGTGCACAATACAGTATGCATTTTACAATATGTACATATTTGCATTTTGTGTTATGCAAAATTACATTTTTAAAACTGAATATTTATGTTTCAAAGTATGTCATATTTGTTACAATGCTGAATTTGATTGTGTGTTGTTTGATAATGTATTAATTTACATGGCGTTCTAGAGAGGGTCTACTTCTTAGGTGCGTTTACATCAGTAAGACATTACATGATGCATCACACAATATTGTACACATGGAACTTTCATAACACTTTTCCCAAATTTGATTGTTTATGCGATAAAATGTTAGCTTCCAATTTTATAACTTGTTACTGAGCCAATAACAGACCTGTTCTTTATGATTTTCCTGATAAAACTTGATTTTTGTTTCAAATACCTTAAAGCCGTCCAGATAGCTAATTTTATTCTCCAACTCACTGCTCATTAAGCATCCACTATCTCTAAACTTCATGACAGAAGTGTGATTTTTTAAAATTTAGTATAATAGTACAGGACTCTAGGAAGTGATGTTATTCAAGTGCCATCTGTGAAATTCAATGTAGAAATGAAAAGGAGGAGCTTACCTTTGAATTTTGTTACTCATTTCTTAGGAAATAGCATTACTGTTGCAGCCTAAGTGAAAGATTCTTTCAATAACAAATGAACAGGAGTTAATAATTTATAGGGACAAAACTAATGGAAATTATGCAGTCCTTGATATTAAGAGCACAGGGTGTTGTATTATTATGATTGTTATTATAAGTTGATACTTAGGTGATTGCACTGGTAGGTCATTGTTGGTTTGGGTGGTTGCCTTTATGAAGGACTTACCAAAAGAGCATGAGGTACTGTTAAATGATTTAAAGCATTAATGTGCAATTGCAGTTTGTTCTATAGAATTATCTTTTGGCAAGACAACACAAATATGTATTGTTGGGATGAGCAGATCAGATAGATGGTTGGGTGGGGAAAAAATACACATGGACAGATAAGAAATGCATACAGAGATTTGGTAAAGAGTAACTTGGAAGACCTGGACATAGATGGGAGGATGTAATTAAAAGGGATCTTAGAGAAATTTGATGGGAAGTTATGAATTGGATTCATCTGCAGGTCATTGTAAAAAATGAAGCACTGGATTCTATAAAAGATGAGGAATTATTTGACTAGCTGAGCGACTATTAGAGTTTCAAGAAGGACTTTGCTCCATGAAGTTAGTTTAGTGAAAGTATGTCTGCCATTTCAGATATCACAAACAATGAGAATATTGTCACAACTAAAAATACTTTTCTTTAGTTATTACTGCTGAGTGATCATTGAAAGCACTTTCTTTTATGCTAGAACTGACATGATTGTGTTTATCGTGTGAGCTACTACACTATGCTTGTGTTGTTCCACATTTGTTATTCAACAGTAACACTTTTTTAGTTGCATAATTATAGGTGATGACATTTCCATTTCCAGCTGCAGTTTGTGATATATCTGTTCATTTAATTGTAATATAAAGGTGTAAGGCTTACAAATAATTGTGAGCAGTAAGGAATCTAATATTGAAAACCCTTATGTGTGAAGCCTATGAGATCTATACTTTCATTCTTACAATGATTTTCCTTTATTTTGTTACTTTAATATTATTCAGAACACTTGGAATGTCCAAGATGTGTGCCACATTAATGTGCATACCTAATTATATCATATTTCATCATGAACCAGCATTTCACATATGAGTCCACTTAGTAAGAAGATGCATTGTGAACCAAAAATTGTTTATACAGCTTCATTGATTTTGTTTTAATGTACACATTTCAGAGTAGCATTATATTACTTAGTTTCCTCTTTCGAGCTAAGGGTTGGAATATGTTTATTTACATTGAGAATCATAAGTAGTACACTATGTTTTTTATTATCTGTGCATGGATTGTTTGATTTGTAGATATCCTTTGCATGTTTTGTATCTAAAAATTATTATGAGTGGAACTATTGTAACTTAACAGTCATTCAAATTATCATAAATATTTGCCTGTTCAGTTTTAAAGGGATGTGGATGCAATACAAGGCATGAGTAAAATGTGTGGTGAATGAGCAAATACATGTTTTGTTCCCCTTGAAATTACTCCCCTCTGACACACACAAACACACAGAGTCTTCTTCCATCACTCCTGCCACTGTTGGAAACATTTCTGGAAGTCTTCTCATGATGAAGAATCATCCACAGATTGTTTGTCATGTTGGAAATTATATCTTCAGTTATGTCAAATTGCTTCCCTTTCCTTGTTTCCATGAATCTGTAGAATAGTTAGAAGCCATGGTGACAGGTCAAGAGAGGAGGCTGGTAGGACACATTGTCATGCTGGAACATCCAACTGTTCCACCATTTTCTAGGTTTTTTCCATTAGATGACCTCACTCAAATATTGCAAGTTTTCTTCATGAAATGCAGAATTAACTGTTTGGCATTGAGGAACAAATTCAGAATGAACAACTCTTTCCATGTCCAAGAACACAATTAATATAACATTCGCTCACAGTCTCGACTGATGTGCCTTATTTGGTGTCGGTAATGCGGGTGCTTACCTTTGGGATCTTTGTGTCCATATTTGTTTATTGCACAATTTTTGTAATTTTGCACACATGCTGAATGCAACAAACAGTTTCTGACACAGATCAGCCTTACAATGCAACTGCTAGCCAGTTGAGACACCATAAACACACACATAAGGATTTCCATAACACACACTGCTTAACACAATTTTACCATTCTCACATGTCTGTTGTGTTATTCATTGAACCTTTGGGCCAAGCCTTGTGCAACAGTCACATTTACTGCATCGTGCTTATGCAGGCTTTTCAGGAGATGAACTACAGCACTAAAGGACAGCTTTGGTTTTTCCTTCCTTCATTGCTTATACTCGTTTCATGAAGTTTTGTGCACTCAGGCAGTCTCTGATGCAGATCTTTTCAGTCTGAGTGCACTTTATGTGTAATTACATATAAAAGTGATGTCTCAGCATGCTGTTATTAACTTAAAAAGTGTTTCATAATCATACAGTATCTGATTTTATACCAATCTATGTCAGACCTACTTGACAGTTCAACTAAAGATTATCTGGATCATTTATTGGTAAAGAATATATTTGATCCTAGTCAGTCTGAGGTCATATTGTACTTGAAAATGGAGGCTCATTTTGTTATGCATTATGTTGACTACAGTTTCATCTGCGTTTTCTGTAGTTTGTATGATTGTGTTTTCTTCTGTCATATGCCATAACCTTCATGTGGAATCATGAGAAACAGATGCTATCTCTTGCATTTCATGTCATGTAAGAGCACAATATTAGCCTGTGTTAACTTACATTTAAGTTACGAGAGTTTTACAGTGGTACAAGCCCTCCTCGTGTGGTTGGATTGCGTGCCATGTAGATGTCCATATCGTGATCAGTCCAGTTGTCAGAGGTGTCACAGTAATTGTTTAGTGTGTGTGTGGAGCCAGCTGTACTGTAGCGACTACCAGGTCTCTGTAGTCCAGACTGGTGATCCCTGGTGCGGGACCGAGGACGTTGTCGACGAGAAGAGGTTACAGAGGGTTGATGGTGTTGATGACTGGCAGGATAACTCATGCGAGATAGATGATCCGAGGTGGCTGCAAGAGACTGCCGGGATTGTCGTAGTTCTGTGGAAAAGGAAACAGATTTTAATCATGTTGTAAGTCTTTTGTTGCATTGACAGATCTTTTGATAAGGATTCATTTGATACATAAATAGTACAGTGCAGAGGTGCATAGTTCATTTCTACAGTGCTGTACCATTGCCGTCTTTCGTGAGTGACCAAACATTTTATTTCTTCAGTTTATTTTTTACAGATTAGGAAGTGGGTGTGCAAAAGCAGTCCATCACAAGAATAGAGTAACTCACTAACTTATCATAGGAAAAAACCTAGAAATGACCCACTTATTTATTTGTTCTAACAGATGAAGATGCTGATAGTGTACATCAGTGGTCCCCAACCTTTTTGTGCCTACGGGCACATTTGAGAGTTTATGAGATCGTGGCTGGCACCAACCAATTAACAAAGCCAAATTTTCTTTTCTCTGGACAAATAAGATGGACACCAAATAATACACAAAACAAAACGATGTTTAATGACACAAGAAACCATGCAATCAAAAATATGTAGTTTTATAAGTACAATTATTATTACTCAAGTGGGAAGTTAGTGTGATGTTTGGCATTGCATTTCATCGGCTCGCAAACAATCGTCAAAATGGGCATCAGTAAGTCGAGATCTGTGCTTTGATTTTATAATGTTCATGGTTGAACGGCCTTCATTATTCAGTATAACCTCTTTCCGTATAAACACGGGGACCCAAAAAAAGTCTTGGCGGGCGCCATGGTGCGGGCACCGCGTTGGGGACCACTGGTGTACATCATGAGTGAAGAGCACACACACACACACAAAAGATGAACTTAAGAAATGGATTCAGAACTTAACAAATAAAGATTCTTAATACTGTATCTCACTTTACATATTGACAGATTATGTTATGCTAATTATGGAATTTGTTATCATTTCTGGTTGTTTTTCATGTCTCTGGTGAAGTTAAGTGTTACGGTAAAAGTATGAAATGTTAAATTATGTGTTTGTAAAATATGGTCTAACAGTAGGACTGTTAACGAGACCAGTAATTCCAAACAATTGTGTGAGGAAATTTTAGAGTTTTGTGAGGTATACTTAGAGATTCCACAGATTTCATTACTGTTGCCAGCCCAAAATTTTCTTTGTCTAAAAATTGTTTTCAAAGATTGGTTGAGTGTGCTTGTCAAAAACTTGGGTGACTGATATATTATTAGAACAGATAACATTACATTTTAATTGACATTGGAGAAAAGTATCACTGACAATTAAAAAATGATACAGCAAGTTATGGAAATAGAACAGTGAATGAAACACTGGTTTTTGTGCAGGTTAAGAGATTTCAAAAAATTGATGGGAAGATATATGGAAGAGAAAATACTGGCTGTCCAGCAATGTCAAGAATAGATCCAAACATGTGATTGAAGTGGTGACAAATGATAGTTGACAGACTGCTTGGAAGAAAGCAGAAGAACTGAACATGAACAGGGAAACACTGGGATTGATAATAATCAAAGATCTGAATATTCAGAAAGCCTGTACCAGAATGGTACAGAGCTATTTTAGCATTGAGCAAAAAATTGGAAAAGTAACTTGCTCAGGTCTTTGAGCAAGATTGTTTAAAGAACTTGATCTTTAAATGAAGTAGCAACTGGTGTGGACCAAAACCAAGAAGTTCATATTCTTCAAGGCAGAAGAAGTATGAGTGAAAATCAATGTACTTTTTTATGTTGAAGGAATTATCCATTATGAATTTTTTTCCTTTAAAGCAAAAGTTAATCGAGCGTTGTACTTTCAAGTTAAGAATATTTATGGCAGTATGAAGATGGCTGTCTTCTGGGTTGTTGCACTGCCTCTGGAATGTCAGTAAACTTCTACCAGACTACATGGTGCAACAACCCGCTGCTGTGAAAACCTCATTACCCCAGCAGTGCATTCATCAAGAAAGACCAGAGAAGTTGGCTTTGTATGATGACAATGCTGTTTCTTGCATAATGCTTTCAGTAGAGCAATTTTTGTCTGGAAAATAATGTGAGCATTCATTCAGAGCAATGTGATGGCAGTTCTGAAAGAACTTTCAGAAAATGATTTCTAGAAATATTGCTAGACATGACAGATCTTGGAATGCATGTTTAGGTCAGGATGAGTGCTTTGAAGGTTGCTACACTTGACAGATGAAGTAATGATCTTGATGAGATATGGTAAACGGGATTTAACAGAAGCATGTAGGTGGCCCTTGAAATAAAAATTACGTAAAACCTTCTCAGCCTAACAGCTGTTTATAAAATAGGACTGATAAATGAGAGAAAAAACAATCCTTGTGTCTTGTTAATAATGCAATGTCAGTTTAAATTTCTGCACATACACATTTTTGATGACTAATCCTGCTGTTACCATTTTCAATACCATGTGATTCCAGGTGATAGTGTCCATCAAATAGAATATCTTGAAGGCAGTGACTGCACAGTGAATTCATTGATCTACATTAATTTCCTTTTAGTTAGTTTGTACTGTTATTTGTAGAATTATGTTTTTATGGGCAGCCTGTATTTGACAGACAGACTCATGTTTCTAGAACATTACCAGTACATGCCTATGTATGGCGTGTCTATTTTTGGGCAGGGTAGGGGTGATTGTTTGCTTCCTCTCTCAGACATCGTGGGAAAGAGAGCCGTAATGGATTCCGCAAATGGTTCTGTCGAGCTATCGTTTTATAAAAAAATGTACATCTGTTGTTTGATTAGCCAATATCAGTGAATAAACTGCTTTTGCAACTCGGATCTTGTACGCAAAACATATTTTTGACCTTCACATTTAGATAATCATTTCAGTATTTCACTGGAAATAGATTGAGTAGTTTCACAATGTTTTCCCACCATCAAGATTTACACTACGAAATAGCTGTAAGGCCGCGTACCTTTAACACTTGTAGTTCTTGTATCGGTTCTTTCAGTATTTTACAGAAAAGTATTTTGGGAGCAATGATCTAGATTAGAAATTAATTTAGACAGAATCTTGCCTGGTCGAGAGTTGACAAGCCCAGCAGCATAGGAATTCCCTGATAGGTATCTGCCAGAATGGTTTGAAAAACTGTGTTGTGACTGTCCATCAGCTATGGACCTGGTCTTTACTCCCTTGCTGCTGAGGTGAGATGCATGCGAATGCATGTCATCGGCAGTGCATCCCATGTTGACGGAACCTAGGGGGGAAATAGCAGCTGCTTATGCACAGAAGTGTTTGAAACATGTTAATATTTATGCTTGGTTTAGCCTGTTAAAATTTCTTATCTGTTTGTTATTCATTATCCCCAACATTATTACTGGATTTATGGGGAAACTAAATGTATGGAAATGTTTTGAAATCTGTATGTGTAATTTTGAGAGCATAAATGTTCTAATAACTACTGAAGAATGAGTGCAGAGTCGTGAACTATTAGAAGGTTTGTTTACATTCCTTGCTAGCATTCATCATGCATGTTAGTTCCAGCTGTCCATGGCTAATTCTATAAAAGTAACATTACTATACTTATCTATTGCTAAATGTCTTCCACATGAAATACCAAGAAGCAGCATGCTAAGAACCAAAGCTTTTTTCACTAAAAAAATGTAGATGCTCTTTACCAAAATTGGGAATTCATAACATGTTACTGTGGCCTACCAGTATTGCATTTCAAGATAAGAATTGTGTGAATAAACGTGATCTAAAATCAAAATGCTCCATAAAAGTTACACTTTTCACATTTCTACACCAAGTGCCATTAAAAAGAAAATTAAGCAGTTGTAGGCTACATTCTGTCCATCCAAGGTGCAAATTTATAAAATGTGCTGATATTAATGACGGTATTGTAGGTATAGTTTTAACACATTTGCTGCTTAATTTTTTCCACCTAACATTTAGTTTTTAAACTGGAGGTTATTTTCAATGTTATTGGTATGTTCTGTGAAACTGTGGTAGGGTTTTATCAGTGCAGCCATAGTCACAGTTGAGCAGTCAGCCAAACTTCATATGAAAATCTAAGTGTGTATTTTCTGATGAAATTTATTGAAGGATCTGAGCTTTGTAAAATGTATAAACCAAATTTAGACTTAGTCCTTGTTAGACAGTTGGTCTGCCACTTCATAATACCCAAAGTTTCAGATTTTTAAAAATGCTGTTGTATGAATTTTGTTTTAATTTAAATGCCCCAAAACTGTTTGATATTCCCTTTTTAATGTATTTTCATACTACAGGTAGCCCTAGATTTGCGCCGATTTTGAAACGAGCAAGTCAAAAAGTGAAAAAAAATATATTTTACTATTATTTATAACGTTTCACAATGTATCTCGTGCTGATTCTTATACTAAATCGTAATTCCTACATCGCTGATTTTGAATAAATATTATAAATACAGTCATCTCTGCAATGACGTATGTTTCGTTAACGCGAATTTGCTCCAATGAGATCGATGAATCGGTAAAAGCTGTCTGTGAAATGCAAACTTTTACATATGCGAGTTTGCTCTTATGCAATTTCATTCCTGGTGCTTTAAACTTTCAAAGGACTAATTTAATCTCTGCGGAGGTACCGGGGTTATTTTTACTACGCGATTTTCTATAGGTCGGCGTCTTACATGAATGCAACTATCGCATAACAGCAGAGATGACTGTACACATCAATCACATGAAAGAATCGCAGTCAATCGCGGGGACCAACGATTTGCCGATTGTAAGTGTATAAAATAAATTTTTAAATTCCCTTTATTTTATTTACGTTATTTCAAAGCTTTAAATGTAATGCCATTATATTACTCGTCAATGTCATTGACTTCCCATTGATTTACATTATAAAAAAAATTCAATTTACGCCGGTTCGTCAAGGAACGCATCCCCGGCGTAAATCGAGGTCTACCTGTATTCTTAAAACACAAAGTGAAAATTAAAGAAGAGTCATTTGTCATATGTAGTTTAATAAGGCAGCGAAAAGGTTAAAATTTACATGACATTTTTTCAAGTTTGAGATTTATTAAGTTGCATTATATTGCTTTTCCAAACTCAAACTCAACTTGATTTTCCCTGTATTTAGTGTCTTGAAATAATCTCTGATTTTTAACAGAAGAGTTACTTCTGTTTGCTTACCCTGTCTGTCCATATGGTACACCCGTGGCCTTGGGATACTGCGATTGCTATACATGGAAACCTGATCCCAATCTTTATGTGTTGTAAAGGCACTGAGTGTCGCAAGTGATGACAGTGGCCCTCCAGGACTAGGAGTAGGCCCCATTCCTGTGCAGCAAGTTACTGGCAATCCACCCACAGGAATCCCGCCTTTAGTCTCGTGTTGTTGCAATGTATGGAGTTTCCGAGACCTGCGACGACTTGCAGCCACAAACACTATGACAGCTATTACAACAGTACCACAGATAGCAGCACTAGCCGCAATGGTTATTTTGTCCATGTTGCTGGATGGGGAAGTTACTGTGCGAACCTCACGGCATTGATTATACGGCACTGTTTCTGGAGTCACGACTACATCCTCTAAGGAAATGACACAGACCACAATGCATTCCTGAAATGCAGATATTAGTTTGTTTATTGTGATGTAACACAAATACGATTAGCTTATAGTACCGGGTCTACAATTTATGAGTCTCGGGGCGTGCTTGCTTTGCGTGGGCGGGAGTTGTGCATCCTTGACTAATAAGTTTTAACATTGAATGAAATGAGGTGGATTAGTTTTGAATAGTAAATTATAAAACAGAAGAACACAGTGGTAATAGCTTATTATAGGATACTATTCCAGCTTATGACAGATGATGCTGAGGATAACCATGAAAAGTCTCAAGTAGTGATGTAACGTTTGAGCCAGAAACTAAATATATTACCTATCTCCTAACAATGATCAGTATTTTGAAGAATAAAATTGTCACACACAAGATGTGGTCAACACACTTACCTGAGCTGGCACATTTTTAATCTTGAATTCTCTTTCACTGGCTTCAAGAGGAGGTCCCTGCTTAAAACTCTTATCACCAAACAATCTGTATACGACACGGAATCCAAGTATGTTTGCAGTTTCAGAATCCCACTGAATGATGACTGAGTTATCCTGACGATAGGCATTACGAACCATGACTTCCTGAACTTCTTCGTGTTTGCCAGAGTGTGATGGAAACCCTAGGACAACTGGTGGTCTCTGCTGAGAATTGTTTCCACGCCACGGAGGAACAGTGGTCCTTGACACCACAACATTCCCTCGTCGTGTGGTGGTTGTAGGCCGTGACGTCGTGGTAGTTGAGGTTGTTCCACGTGTGGTCGTGAGGGGGGGTTTCGGTGTTGTTTTAATCGTGCTTGGAATGGTCACAGGTCTTGGTACGTGCGTAGTTGTGGTTTGAATTGTAGTTGTTGAAGATGGAGGAGTTGTGGTCGTAGTTACTGTTGTGCTGATTGTAGTGGTAGACTTAGGAGTTGTGGGTTTCAAGCGTGATGTAGGGGGCACAAATACTGAATGATTTTCTTCTTCCTCACTTACTTCTTCATCCCTTTTTGGTGGTTTCTTGTTTCCTGCTTCATTTTGAATAGCTGCAATATTTTCCAGGTCATTGGCTATTCCACATGTAAGTTCTGTAATGGGATTTTAACAGGTTTTTAAAATTAATGTTTAGTTCTAACAAAGCTTTCTTCTTCTGTCTATTCCCATTGAGGAAGTACTGGACCTACAGTTTTATAGAAAAATTTGTGTTGGCCATATTCTGTTGGGATCACTGTTTCCCCTTCTCAACCTTCCTGAGGCCTGATAAGGTACTGAAATGACCTGCTCTTGTAGATATTTCTTATGCATAACTGAGGTGGGAAATTATGTTGGTAGAGCTGTTCTGATTTAATCTATTTTCAGAAAGCTGTATCTACAGCTACCATGGGCATTATAAGTGGGGACATGGGGTACCACACTCTAAATTCTGTCTGGGAATGTTTTAATGCCCTCCCCAGCTCCACAAGGAACCTGTGGCAGGGCAGCAAAGAATACTTTTTTAGGAAGGCTAAACATCTTTATGACAAGTAAACAAAATTTTCACCATCTCGGACAATATTTAACTTTTCTCACCTCAAACATTAGAAGCTGTGCCTTCAAAGCTCAGCTACTTACGCCTCCTTGTTGAGTTCTGTGTTACATTTATGTGGCATTATGTTTTGGTCATTTTGTAACCCTTCAGCATGTAATACGTAATGAATATATCGATGTAATGGAATTATTTGCTTTTTTTTGGGGGGGGGGATAATTTTTAACATTAGACGCCGCGAAATCCAAAGGACAAGAGCTTACCATCTGGCTGAATAGTGTAGAAACCTCGATCCTTCAGTCTTGTAGGACTTCCACAGAACTGGGGATTGCGCTCACGGCTGGTAACCTGGAGATCACTTCGTCTTATCCATTCTGTCACCCATCGTAACCTGCAGTCGCAATGCAAAAAGCGTCCTCCAAGGCTTAATCCTCTTAATGTAGTGTTGAGATGAGCCAGTGCTAACTCAGGGACGGTTGTTAAGGGATTCCCATCCAGGGCTAGCAGAGTTAGCGAAGGAGTTCCAAAAAATGCGTCTCCCGGCAGCTCCGTTAGCAAGTTGAAACCAATGTCGAGTACCTAGAAAGCACGGTACACTGAGTTACGCTGGAGAATTATCAGGGGGTAGGTCAGTGGCGTTTCCTTGGGCCGGGCAGGCTGAGTGATGTGACGGAAGATTAGCCTAAGTGGTTTCCCAGCTGCCTGGGGATTCGCAACGTAACCATGGTAACCAATGTAGCTTGACGATTCCCCACCTAAGTACTTTCGCGCAGGAACGCCTGCAACTCTTCGAGTAAAGTGCCCGTTTGCTGTTATCCGATTTTAACCAAAATTGTGATGTGTTTACAAAATTTTAATAAAGATCAGTGTTATATCTCGTGAAAGTCCGTTCAGCCATTGTAGAGTTATGTGCGGACGGACAGGACGAAGCTAATAGGCACATTTTTGCAACGTTCACTTTTGAAGGCGTCTGAGAATTGTGAAATACGACTCCTTACATGCGGAAAAAGTGAAAATATGCGTGGATATTTTTTCATACGAGAGTTAAATATGAGAAATACATGAATATTTATGCTAGTGTAGTCATATAAAGGTTGACTGAGCTTGTAGCACGGAAGAGAGTACAAGAGATGCACACACAATTTTTGTGAATAACCTTATTTATAGAAGATGGCTGTCTTCTGGGTTGTTGCGCTGTGTAATTGATAGAAGTTTACCAACGTTTCAGAGGACCTTGCTGCCTCCATCATCAGGCCGAAGAATCCTGATGACGGAGGCAGTATGACCTCTGAAACGTTGGTAAACATCTACCAGACTACACGGCACAACAGCCCAGAAGACAGAAATCTTCATACTCATCGCCCTGATGATGGAGGCAGTGTGACCTCTGAAACGTTGGTAAACATCGACCAGACTACACAGAGCAACAACCCAGAAGACGGAAATCGTCATCGCCCTGATGATGGAGACACTATGACCTCTGAAACGTTGGTAAACATCGACCAGACTACACAGCGCAACAACCCAGAAGACAGAAATCTTCATACTCATCGCCCTGATGATGGAGGCAGTATGACCTCTGAAACGTTGGTAAACATCGACCAGACTACACAGCGCAACAACCCAGAAGACAGAAATCTTCATACTCATCGCCCTGATGATGGAGGCAGTATGACTTCTGAAACGTTGGTTAACATCGGCCAGACTACACGGCGCAACAACCCAGAAGACAGCCATCTTCGGACTCACCGCTATGAAAACCTCAGATCAACCTTATTTATTCTTACGTTTACATGTGTCATACAACTAAAAGATTGTGAATGCGTTTGGCCTGGTTTGGTATTCGTAAGGAGGGTCGAAGTAACCACTCAGCTGTTTTTTTATAAATTGCTTAATGGGGAAGTAACGCCTCACAGCATGTCACTATGTTCCGGCTCCAGACCACTGAACGGACTTCAGTGGCATTTGGTATATAAGACATATACAGTAAAGAGCCAATTTTGTTTCGATCTACAAGCTGAAGTAGACCATGAGATTTGTACAAGAGAACGTACGTATTGGACAAACTGCAGTTCATATTTCACATGGAGATATGAAACATTGTTCGATGTTGGCCTATATAGATCTAACGATTTCGTTAGTTGTCTGTTACTCTACACCAGTGGTATTCAACCTGGGGTACGCGTACCCCCGGGGGTACGTGAAATTAAAAAAAAATATGATAAACACTGAATAATCAGTAATGTAATTTATTTAATTTATTTTGAATGTAGATTATATACTATGTATAACTTGAATTATACACCAACAACTTTGGGGGTACAAAGTTGAAGAGAAATTATATCTGGGGGTACGCGAACAAAAAAGGTTTAATACCACTGCTCTACACCTCCATTTTGTTTCAGTTTTTGTTACGGACCAAAGATAAGTACGGTTTGCGAGTGTTTGTTCTTAACGACGCCCCTCAATCGCTGCTGTGGTTTGTCATCAACTGGGGCCAAGTTTTGATAATATGATTTAACAGGATTTGTATTGAGCTGCAGCAGGAGTCTTGTCGCCATAGTAAACAATTACGATTCAAGGGAAGTTACCCGTAACTCGGTGAGGCTATTGATGGCCGCCGTTGGGAAGTCAGTCATGAGATTGTTCAGAAGACTCAGGGAGCTCAGCGTATCGTTCACACCGCTGAACGCATCGGCATTGACGCCCTGGATCAAGTTGCGTTCCATGTTGAGGGCAGTTAGGGAATGCAGGTCTTCCAAGAGACGTATACCGGGCCCCGGTAGTTCCCGGAGTCCATTTTGAGCTAGATCTAAAAACGCCAAAGTTCTTAATCCACGCACTGCTTCCGGTATGCGCTTTTGCCTCGTTCCTTTCAAATTGAGGTTTTTGAGTGAGTCTTCAAGACCTCTGAAAGCCCCAGGCGATAGCGTGAGGTTGTTGTCCGAGAGTTTTAGCGTTGAAAGACCGTGAAGAGTGACGAATGCTTCGTCGGGTATCCTTCCTATGTGATTACGCGACAGATCGAGTAAAGAAAGATTTGATAGAAGTCGGAGGCTTTCCACAGGAACTTCCTCCAGTTCGTTGTCTTGAAGATTAAGGTTCCTAAGCGTAGCTTCCTGGCTACTGAATGCACCAGGTACGATGGTACGAATTTTGCACCCTGATAACTGGACGTTATTAAGTCTCAGGTTTTTAAAAGCACCGTTTTCCAGTCTTATAACTGTGCTGTTATTGACATAAAGCAAGTCTAATGGAGTGGTTCTGGCATACGTATCCAACGCGCTCAGTAAAAGTGAGAAGTCCACCATATCGCACTGCACTGAAAGTTCTTGTCCCAAGTTGTACGCGCAGATGCAGGAAGATTGTAGTTCCTTGATGTCACGGTGCCAAGGACATTGTGCCGTGGATGAATGTGCCACGAGCAGTATCACACCCAGCAGCCATGTTGAAGTCCTCATCACGACCTGCAATACAAATGAGACAGTGAATTTTGAGAAACGCAAATTAATTTTGAAGTACTGGAAAATTGAGAATGTGGACGCGTGAATTTGAAACCACGCCTCTAACGCGACTAAAAATTACAAGGTGGGTGAGGATGCACATTTTCTGAAATGAGGTGACATTTAAGCTGACTGGTGCAGTGGACCGACATAGTTGCGTGTGCTGGTCTTCTGAAAATCCGAACGTTCATGTCAACAAGGCAGTGAATTTACCAGCACTTTCAGTCTGGTGTGGTGTCATCTAGGGGTGTTGTGGGGCCATTCATCTTCAAGAACCTGTTGTTCCCGCCGTTCGTCAGCTGTGTGGAGATGAGGGCATGTGGTATCAAGAAGACGGTTCACCTCCACATTACCGTCGTGATGTCAAGGACCATCTTGACATCACCGTTGTCGGTCTCCCACGATCACCAGATTTAACCCAGTTAACTTTCTTGTGGGGTTACTCGAAGGACACAACGTGCAGCAAACTTGGACAGCTCCGACAAGAAATTTAACGGCCCCAGCAGCAACTTCGGTGTGGCCGCTTTTCAGTCAGTTGCTTACCGCTGTCAACTGTACCACGAAGCTAGCCAATGATGACGTATGCAATTGTTTAGTTCATTAAAATGTCTTTGTTTCATTCATTGGATGTGTGTGTACATCTTTTTGGGACACGTGGAAGTTGAAGATGCTAGTAGGATTAATTGGGGATCTGTCGGTGAACTTTCAGCGCTGTGTGTTCGTCTGCACTATGTCGGAAAAGTAGCCCATCATTCTTGAGGATATACTGCACGTATGGATATAACCTTAGTGGGCGAAGAAATATTTAAATTTTGAACATAAGGAGTCTTTAAATCCAGTTGCAACGAAGGTGGCAGAATTTCCTATTTTCATAATTGTCTTATTTTTCCATTGAAGACGATACAAAACGATCTTGATCGTTTGTTATGATGACTTACATCATCCGTGGCGTAACAGCTCCAGAGAGCCAAAGCCGACTAGCTGGCCTCACGTCCACATGCCTAAGCAGAGGTGAACGATCATCCAACCAGATATCGGGTGACGTGTGGTCAGCGCGACGAACCCCAAGCCATCGCTAGCTTTCATGACCGGATTACGCTACTCATTGTAGCTCCCCAATTTCCTCACACGATGCTGGGTTGGCACCGGCCCCATACACCGGTCGAAAATCTCATGAGAAATTTCTATCCCCGAGACTCGAACCAGCGCGTTTTCCGTATCGCCGGTCCGAAGCATGATGCCTCAGACCACGCGGCTACGGCGCGGGACTGACTTACATTAAGCTCCACAAAATTATGGTTTTGCATGATGATAAGGGAAATGCATTCAGAATTTTATTCGGAAAACCTGTAGAGAAGATTCTCCTTTAGAGACATAGACGTAGATGGGAGTTTTGCATTAAAATGTAAACCTGTCTTGAGGAAGTGACATGTGTGGGCTGGATTCGTGTATTTCAGAATACAGACATGTGGCTGGCTCTTGTGAGCGTGGTTATGAACCTGTTCCATAAAATGCAGACAGTGTCTTGACTAGCTGAGAGTCTAGTAGCTCCATGGAGTTAGTTTCACACGCAGCACCATAAATCATTTCCAGGAACTCATTTATACTGACGTCTGCCTGTCACCAGTGAATCTGACACCAGTCTCTAGGCACACTCACGTTATCTAGCGACGCTCTGTTAGTTTCGAGGGGGAGATTGAGGTGATTATGATCAGTAAGTAATGATTTGGAAGAAGGTTCCATTGTCCATTTCTGGTTCTATCCCAGCATTCCTCTGGAGAGACTCCAGGAAGCCATGGGAACTCTCAGAATAACCAATATTGTGGCTGAGATTTGAACTGGGCGTGTCTCCCATTCAATTCTAGAGCGTACCGTTACGTCAAGCTTCTTGGTGGGTATTCTGTAAATCCGAAGACAGGGATGTTCGCCTACGATATCATTATCTCGGGCGACCTGGATGTCGTGCCCCTGTAGAGCTTGTGCACGCGAGGGAGTTCTTTTCTGCTTCAGAACTGACCAGCCTTCTGATTTCTTGTCTTCATAACCGGAACGACGGCCTAATTTTAAAACGGCTGCAAAACTTGTTTCGTCTGTGACATTCTCTGATCTAGTGGGATGTACAGAACAGAAAGTAAATGACATTTTTGTACGTTTTGAACTGGAAACTTTCACAGCGGCAAAACATTCGGAGCAGAAGTCCAACCTTCCGGAGATAGATATCCTCCCCAGATTACGCAGAGAGGAGGTATCCGAAACGTCGAACTTTGTCCACAGAATAGGCGTGGCTGTTCGCGCGGCAAGATTTAGCTACAGTTTGTTACATATATTGTTTCATACTGCGTAATATGTTGCAAGAAACACAATGCGGTTTGCAGTGAGAATTCTTGAGGCAGACTGAGTTTTGTTTTCTGAAAAGTAAAATGAGTATGACATACTTATTTGCTAAATTATATTACTACATATTCCGTGGAGAGCCAGCGGCTGAGGAAGTGTCATTGTTATTGCAACAAGCAAACTACCTGTAACACAGCCAGGAAAGACGTGTCGAAACGTTCTCGGAAATAATGCAGCTTATTCAATAGAATCTCCTCGGGCAATCAGCCGCGTTAACTGGTTTACTACGGTTGATTGCCCGAGAAGATTGATTGTACTGGCCGCGAAAGTCTCAAATCCAATGCAACTTATTGCCCAAATGAAAAGGCTAGTATGCTACTTTATTTTAATAGATTTTACATGGACTTTGTGAGTGTACAGAACTTATCTAAACTTACAAATCTGTTTAATTATCAATTTTATATATACGTTCTGATTCCGTAATTTTGTCCAAGGGCAATATCATAAGCGGTAAAACATTAGAAAACAGAAGATGGCTGTCTTCTGGGTTGTTGCGCCGTGTAGTGTGCTAGAAGCTTAAAGACGTTTCAGAAGACAGTTATCTTCAAACTCATCGCCGTGAAAACTTTAAAATCCTACATGAGAAAACAGTATGTCAGAAGTCCCTGCCATTGTCGGGAGTCAAACCCCAGATGTACAGCTTACTGAGTTATCCCTTATCCCAGAATGTGGCCTCAAATCGGGTGTGAGGGTGTGGAGTGGATTAAATTTAATCCTGATAGGAACTATTGACTGGATTTTGTGGACACGTTGATGAACCATAGGTTTTATAAACGTTGGCGATTTCGCGACCAGCTGAGAACTATGGAGGGCTGTTGTGAACACGGAAATGAATTTTAGGATTTCACAAAAGTTTTTATTTATTAGCTGAGCGACTTACCGCTTCTGAAGGACTCTTACTTCATGGAGCTAGGCAATGAGACAAAGTATCCACGTAATTGTTCCGGTTTTGACTTATAAGCGCGCTGTCAGAAATGTTTGTTGTGACTTCCACAGTGACACGCGAATAACGGACGAACCTTGCCTAGTACAGTGGAGGCTGCGCGCTGTCGAATTTCACCGTTGTTTCCGATCAGGTGGACCCTGTTGTGTGCCCCTAGGCTCTGATAACGGGAAAGCAGCGGTTAACACTTGCTTCTTGCATCTCCGACCAAACCTATTGAACAGCACGTGGGCGTTTAGAGGTGTTCAAGGTTCATTCGAGGCGGTTGGATCCAAACAACGTGATTAGCCGATTCTTTGTAACTTTTAACTTTATTAGTTTTTTATTCTTTGTTCTCTTGAACGATTCCTGGGTTCTTCATTAGATTAATTGACTCGTAAGGGCGATTCCTAATCAGACGTACGACACACGCATTCGGTCGTGTGTTACAGTGGCTGCAGAACAAACTTAACTTTATGAGGCAGAGTTTTATATTGATAAGCTAATAGTTGCTCAGGTGATCAAGAAATTCACAGCTTTTTATGTAACCAGAAGGCTCGTTATCGATTCCTGTCTTGAGCCAAATTAAACCAGTCCGCACTCTATTTAAAATAAGTTCTGGTATTATCCTCTGGTCTCCGCATAGGCCTTTCCGTTACATGATTATAACATTTAGATTTAAAGGAATAAAAGGAAAAGTAGCATGTCTTTTAGGGATTGTATTGTGTTAATTACTGAAATTACAACATAATCAAAGAGATTACAGAGGAAAAAATACCAAACTTAGTAATATACGCAAATTAAACTTCCTAAAAGCAACTCATTCTCGGACATGTTTATTTTTAGTTGCCGAAATAGTGAGTTTTGAACTTTGGTGTAGTATTTTCAGGGTTCAGCGTGACTTTATGTCAGCGATTGGGTTCCGGCTAAAATTTTAGAGCATTCGTGAGTAGTTTAAGATATTTAATTTGTCACAGTCTCGCGATATTTCCTCGAACGTCATATGTGAGAACACAGTCGTAATCTTATTATTTCCGTCCGTGTACTTTTCTTATTCTTTGGTAGATTCATACGATGCCCGCTGTAAATTATGTAATCAGCTGCTACTTTCTCGTGACCCAACAAGCTTGGCGATCCCTGGTGTTGAGTCACAGAAGGATTTAGTTTGTCTGATGTGAGATGAATGTAGTCGATCATGAATTGCCTGTCTCTACAGGAATGTCGTTAACTAGAGAGCAATTGGACTTACTGTCTGTTCATTCCAGACAGAAGCCTCTTGTTCATAAAGCTGACCATCAGATACTGTACTACGTGTACTGTACATTTAATTTTTTTCTGACGTAGTAACTAATATGCAAAGATATTACACTAAATAACTTTTATTATGCATCATAACGAAAACCGTTTATAATTGTACAAGGAATTGCAGTTGTCCGACATGGATTACGATGATATTCATCGAAAAACTTACTGTTGTTGTCGATTTTTGAAATTTATTCAACGTTTCGGCAAACATTAAAGTGAATATTTACCCTTCACGTAACAACTGCAGTGTTTGAAGTTTTGCATGGAACTCCACCGGCAAAAAACCGAAGTTGAAGAACATGTAGTAGGCGTATATAATAATCCCTGTGCAGATTAATGTCAA